CCAGCCTGTCCGATGCTAACGGATTTCTGGTTAACGTTTATTTTGATTTTGAAGTTGAAGTTTTTCCGATGTGTACATTAGGATGAAAAGTGTTTCTCCCTCCCTTATTCTTATTTTCCAGATGGCATCTTTATGATCCCCACCAGTTTTGGGAGAATCCTCTGTGGACTGATGAGAGAACAGTTGGGCGGTGTCAAAGGTGTGTGTTCGATTATATCTGGCATAAAGGGAACACCAGGTTTCAGGAAGGGATCATCAAAGCGGCAATAAAAAGGGGGATAGTATGATGGTCTGCAGATGTTTAGCTGCTGCTGGACCTGGGAGACTTGCTGTGATACATGGAGCCATGATTTCTGCCATCTACCAAAGAGGAATGTCCAACCATCTGCCTGTGACCAAATCTGGTTCTTTCTCTAACCTCTGTGATTCACTATCGGTGAGACCAGCCAAGGAAGCGGTCCCTGACTGACAGGTCGACTGTCCGTAAGCTCCTCCTACAGTCATTCTCACCCTCTTCCTGTGGGAAACCATATCACGCCCCCTCAGCTCAGCTTGGACTGGCTGAGTAGATTCACACGCATGAAGGCGAGCTGCCTTTACCTGGCTGCTTTACTGCAAAAAGATGAAATCACAAGTAGTTTTTAGTGAGACATTTTGCCAATTGAACAAACAATTTACATTTAAAATGAGAAGAAAACTCAAGTGCATGTTATCCAATTTTAGGAGTAAAAAGTACTAATTTTAATTGACAAATCATCTTATTTACCTGAGCAAATTGAGGTTAAGAAAACAGAATCAGAAATACTTTAATGATCCCAGGGGGAAATTATCTTCGTTACACGCTCCAGGTATACAAACGACATATTGCGCACATTCATTTAAAGAAATAAAATACTAGACTAAGAAATATAACTTTCCACACTTAAAATAAAAATATATATACATAGAGAGAGAGAGAGAGTTACAGATTTAAAAAGAAAAGAAAAAAAATTAATTTCAGAGTTAATTGTTTACTCCTTTCTAATTCATTTTTGCAATGTTTATATTCACATATTTAGCACCATGGTCTGTTTCGCTGTAGGAGGAACTTGCTGTCTGTAGTATCAGCAGTATCACTATCAGGGGGCGGGCTTGATGCCATTAGAGCACCCATAGCCGGTCTCACCCATAGCCGGTCTCACCCGTAGCCGTTCTCACCCGTAGCCGTTCTCACCCGTAGCCGTTCTCACCCGTAGC